ACCGGGCCTCGGCGCTGGCCCTGCCTCTCCCCTGCTCAAAGCCCTCCCGTGGCTCCTGGGAGCCCCAGGACAAACTCGCAGCCCCCAGCCCGGTGGCCCCACGCCCGTGCCTTTCCTGAGCTCCTCTTGCAGCCCTGTCACGTCTCGGTCTGGACACTTTTTGTTTGGGGAGAGGTCCTTTTTCTTTTCTTTTCTTTTCTTTTCTTTTCTTTTCTTTTCTTTTCTTTTCTTTTCTTTTCTTTTCTCTTTTCTTTTCTTTTCTTTTCTTTTCCGATTTCTGGTATCTGGGATTGACCCCAGGGCCCTTGCACTGAGCTACACCCCCAGACCTTTTTATTTTTTTATTTCAAGACAGGGTCTCACTAAGATGCCTGAGATGGACTCAACCTTGTGATCCTCCTGCCTCAGCCTCCCAGATTGCTGGGATCACGGGCGTGCACCACCACACCCAATCAGGACAGATCTTTTTTTGCATCTTTCTTTTTTCTTTTAATATTTCTGTCATATGTCTGTGCATCAGTATATTGGAAGCTTCTTTTGTCTTTTTGACAGCTGTGTAGGATTCTGTTACACGGAGAAACTATAGACACAGAATCAGGGCCCTCCTCTCTTTTTCTGGCAGCTGCAGGGGCCTGCTCACTGGTCCCCACTGCCTCTGTCATGTGTCCCCCACAGAGAGCTGGAGTCAGAATTACAGATGTTCACCTGACCCCGTCCCCGCTGAGATGAGCAGCCTTGCATGGCTTCTTTGTGTATTGGGAGAATTAAGATCCAAACTTCCACTTCCTGTCTGAAAACCCTCTGTCCACAAAAATGCCTGGAAATACTGATGCATCACCAAATAGAGACTGGACTGAAGTTGTAAGAAAGTAAAGAACTGCAAGTCAGAGGTCTTAGAACTGGAGGGCTGGCTGCACTTCATAGGCTGGGGGAGGGGAGGAAGGGGGTTATACTAACCGAGCAGTTTGCTTTGCATGGCCCTGCGACACAAGGCAATACACAGAGCGCAACTCGCAGAATTTCAAGAAGAAAAAGACAAATCTGTAAGCACTGCAGAATATTTCAAAATACATCTTGTTTTCATTAGAGCAAGAAGGAAAATAAATCATTACAAATAAGGGAGAGTAGGCAACATGATGAATGAACTTGATTTAAAAATATGTACACACACATACACACACACACACACATACGCACACACATACACACAAACATGCACACATACACACACATACACACACATACACACAGGCACACAGACACATACACACACACGCACACACACATACATACACGTACACACACTCATACACATACGCACACACATACACACAGACATACACACAAACACACACATACATACACACACATACACACACAAAATTACACACGTATACATACACACACATACACACATACACACACACAAAATTACACACGTACACATATACACACATACACACATACACACAAACACACACATACACATACACACATACACACAGACATACACACAGACATACACACACATATGCATACACACACATTCACACACATACACACACATAAACACATACATATACACAAACACACATACACACATACACACAAAATTACACACGTACACATACACATATACACACATACACACATACACACATACAAACACACTCACACGTACACACACATACACACAGACATACACACATACACACACAAATATACACACATACATACACATACACACATATACACACATACACACAAACACACACATACACACACATACACACACAACACACACGTACACACACAAACACACACATACACATACACAAACACACACATACACATACACAAACACACACATACACATATACACACACATACACACGCACACATACACATACACACACATACACAAACACAAACATACACACACGTACACACACAAACACATACACGCACACCTACACACATACACACATACACACATTTATACACACATACTCACATACACACACATACACACACATACACTCAAACACACATACACACATACACACACAAACACATACACACAAACACACACATACACACATACACACACATATACACAAACACACATACACACACATATACACGCACACATATATACACCTCACTACCTTCACAAATATAGAATACATATTCTTTTAAATCCCACATGGAATGTTTATAAAAACTAAACAATTTGCTACAAAGAAAATAAGAAATTGAGGGCCGGGGATTTAGCTCAGTGGTGCCACCGCCTGCCTCGCAAGTGCAAGGTCCAGAGTTCAATCTCTGGTACCAAAAAAAGGAAAGAAAGGAAAGAGAAGAAAGAGAGAAAGAAAGAAAGAAAGAAAGAAAGAGAGAGAAAGAAAGAAAGGAAGAAATTGAAATTATGTCTGGTATATTTTCTGATTTTAGGAAGCTAGGAATAAAAAAGATCATTAGAAAATATTTATGTATCTAAAATACACCAGGTCAAAAAAATCATAATGGAAATTAGAAATATTGTAACCAAATGCTATTGAAATAATCTAAATCAACATATGTGAGACACACTCATACCCATGTTTATAGCAGCACAAGTCATAACAGCTGAATCTTGGAAGTGGCCTACGTGTCCATCCACAGATGAACAGATAAAGAAAATGTGGTATTTACACACAGTGGAGGACTACTCTGCCACAAAAGGATAACCTTGGTCATTTGTAGGAAAATGGATACATCTTGAGAGTGTAATATTAAGTGAAATAATCAGGCACAAGCTTAAATATCACATGATTTCACTTATATGAGAAACCCAAATATAAAGACTAAAGTAAAAGATAATAAGAAATATGAAGATAGGGCCGGGGATTTAGCTCAGTGGTTCCGCTGCCCTTGCTGCGCAAGCGCAAGGACCCGAGTTCGATCCCCAGTACCAAAAAAAAAAAAAAAAAAAGGGAGAGGAAAGGGATGAGAAAAGAATTAAGATGTATTAGGTGCCTGAACCAACTCCTCATGATGAATGAATCGTTACGTACTGGAAACAGGGACTGATAAAAAGTTCCTTAAGTGCAAATAAAGAATGGCTAAAAGTCAATGATAGGAGTCCATTTCAAGAAGCTGGTCAAAACAACACAAGCAGGAAGAAAGGGAGGAATACATGACGTAACGGAACATAGCGAGCTTAGGGAAGGGCTGACGACTTTGGGCTTGGATACTCAACCCAGGAGGAGGAGGAGGAGCAGCAAGGCGGATACGATGGCCCCATGCGAAAGGCCCTGGAGCAGCCCTTTCAGGAACACGCCGGAAATGGGACTCTTGTCTGGAATCAGAGGGGAGAGAAAGTGCTTTTCTCCCATGGCTTCCAAGTCTGAGCCCCAGCTCTCCTCCCCTTGTGCCTGTGTCCAGCCTCACCCTGGACCCTAGGTGTCCCCTTCTGGCCCAGTCCCCAGGCCCCTGTGCCCTCGCCTGGTATCAGGAAGGCACCGGAAGTGCGGACTCCATACTGGCTCCTCCCCTCACGGCGAAGCCGGGTCTATTTCCGGTTCCCCCACGAGGAGGGGGATGGTGGTGTTGGCCCACGCGGTAAGCGTGGCAGAGTCCCTCGGAGGATGTTGTCTGTGCGCTTCACGCCCACGGGGTCGCCTCCCATCCAGCACTGCCCAGATGGCGTGGGGACCCCGTGGGAGGCGCAGCTGCACCGCAGTGTCTTCTCCAGGGAGCAAGAGGGGCTGAGCAGCCTGGCGGGTGCTGTGGAGAGGGAGCCAGGAGCCAGGGAGGATTCTGGCTTTCCTTCCCTTCCTCCGAGGCCCAACTTTGCCCTCCTCTGCGATTGAAAGGGGCTTCAGAGAACTTTCTGGAAGCCTGGGGTGCTGGTGGGGGCCGGGACTCAGGCAAGTCGCCTTCGTCGTCTTCTCATCTGGCCCAGAATTTGGCTCAGCTTTTACTTCTGCCCTTGCATCCAGGGAGAGCGGGGGAGAGGGGACTGTTCGCCCTGGAGCCCAGATCGTTCTCTTGGGCCCACTGTTTCCCCAGACTCCAGACACTGCCACGTCCACAGCACTCCCAGAAAACCTGGCCCTTGACCATGCTGCCTCCGGTCAAGTCATCCAGGGAGAGGTTCAAGTGACCTCCGAGGGTCGTCGTGCGGTCCTCAGGCTTTGGGGTGAAGTGCAGCCCCGGGGAGCAGGAGTCCCCGGAGACGGCTGTGCTGGAGGAGGTGGCAGGCCCCTTCTGAGAAGAAAGGAGGGCTTTGGTCTCTTTGCAGGCGACTGGAGTGCCACAGGCTGCCCAACCACACAGACCTCTGGGTGTAGAGCTCTGGTTTGGAGTCAGGTCTGGGGGAGAGAGAGGGGTGCGTTCACCCGTGGGGGAAGGGACCTTCGCGGTCACTTCACTGTCACACAGTGTTTCCATTTGGAAGCCTGCTCCCCTCCACCTTCCCAACAACCTTATGGAAGCTGGGATTCTTATTGGCCTGCAGTTCTTTCCTTCCTTCCTTCCTTCCTTCCTTCCCTTTCTTTCTTTCTTTCTTTCTCCTTCCTTCCTTCCTTCCTTCCTTCCTTCCTTCCTTCCTTCCTTCCTTTCTTTCTTTCTTTCTTTCTTTCTTTCTTTCTTTCTTTCTTTCTTTCTTTCTGTTTTGTGTGGAGGGGACACACCCCATTGTTCAGGTGAGCAGGCTGAACACAAGGTGCCAGAGCTTGAACCCTAACACTAGACCTTCAAGACTCGGGATAGGAGAATGCTCTGAGGAGTGACACTGCCTGTCCCATAGACTAGACTTCTTGCTGTTGGCTCCTACCCAGACTCCCACCATCCAGCCCAACATCCCTTAGGCTGTGCTCCTCCCTACACCCCTCCCTGGTGGCTGCTGGGCAGAGTCACTTCCCCTCTTCCTGCCATTTCTGTTTGGAAAAATGAAGTAACCAACACTGCCTGTTCATTATTCTTGTAGGTATTAAACACCTCATGCTGCATAAAGCCCAATGACTGGTGAAGTAAGAACAACACAATTTCCAGAACCCCCTCTGAATTTCCTCCTCTCCTCGCTACTTCCTGCATGAGACTGAACATCGCCTGACACAGAGAGTGCGATATTCTCCCTCAGGAGAAACACTTTTTTATTCTCCTACATCAGCATAGAACAAGTATGTCATGCTGTCCCTTTGAGTGTATTGTGGGTCAGCAGGGCGCAGTCTTGTTCCTCAGATTCCCAATAATGAAATCTGTCCTTGGTGTTATTGTAGTAGCAATGGGTTTGTTGGTAGCTACAAGGGAGCTGACACTTTCCTTGACGTGACAGCGGCATTGCTTGGGGATTCTCAGGGAAAGTCAAATATGCAAGAGATTGTAGTGCACAGCCTGTCTTAGACTGGTATCTTCTTGCCTTCCCTCAAAACATGAGGCAGTAACTCTGGGGAGAGATCTCAGTTGAAAGCCAGACTCTCCTGGTGTGTTCAGTGCCCAGCCTGCGCATTAAAGGATTAATCATGCCCACGAAAGGCTCGGCACTTGCCCAGCTCCTGGGGATAACCTCTTGGCCTGTGGGTGTCCCTCCTGATAAGAGAGGCCATGTTCTCCCGGAGCCCTGGAGCATGGCAGACAGTCTAAGCTGACAATGTGAACCGTGGTGGGGACCCTTGGCCACATGGCATCACCTTGATCTCTGGAGGGGCTGGGGACTAAGGTCAGCCATGCCTGTGTGACCAGAGCCCAGTGAGAACCTTGAAGGCTTGCTGGGTCTCACCGGCTGGCAGTACTCTGCGTCACACACGTGGCTGCTGGAATAATACAGGACTGTCTGCGTGACTCCACTAGGAAGGGACAACTGGGGGCTTGCACTGATCTCCCCTGAACCCCACTCCCGTGTGCCTCTTCCCTGCACTGATTTTAATCTGCCTGCTCTTACTGTGATCGACTGTGGACCTGAGTATAATAGCTCCACTGGGTTTGCTGAGTGGTTTGTGGTTGTATTGATTGTATCTTGTGACCTTCACCATGTTGCATCATCTCTGAGTCTCAGAAATGATTACAACAGTGCCAGTGCTGCAGTGGTATAAGAATTAAAGATAATAACTACAGAGGCCTGTGGATCCTTATAATAATGATTAAAGACTGCAACTTAGCTGCTGGCTCTTTGTGGACAATTATTCCTTTCTTTTCCTTCTCCATTTCCTAGGTAACTGGTCTCACACGTATAAACTGGATGGGCTGGTGAAGCACATGGATCCCAAGGCCACTTCCGCTGACATCCTGAAATGATGGTAGCAATACTCACCCAAATGAGATTTTTTTTGTTCAGATCTCCCTGTTTATAGATATCTGCTTAGTCCATTTCCATAATCGTTTTATTATTGCTCCCTAGACACAGGGGGAGATCGAGGGCCCTGAGATTAAAGGTCTGGCTCCAGGTCATAGATTCAGCAGTAGCAGCATCAGGTCTAGACTACAGCTTCCCTTGCTCTGGGTCATGATTCCAGGTCCTCACATCCGAGGATCTTGACATGCTCAGTTCTGAGCCGCCATGCTGTGCTAACACCCACCACACAGGTGAGGAGGCTGACAGCAGATGTGGATGCCTTATTGTTTAAGTCCTAGAGCAGCAGGGCTTTGATATCAAAACCAAACTAGGTCTGGGATTTAGCTCAGTGGCACCATGCCTGCCTTTCAGGCGCAAGGTTTGATCCCCGGTACCGAAAGAAACCCCCCCAAAAACAAAACAAATAAAAACAAACTAGGAGTGAGAAGAGTCGGCCACAATTTCTAGTGACTTTGAGCAGTTCCTTCACCCCTCAGAGGCTGTTTCTTCATCTGTAAAATGGAGATAATCATTTCTTGGTGGGGGGTTGTTGAGTAGATGACATGGTGGGCCACGGTGCCAATCACAGACTATGCATACACAAGACAGCTATTACTTTTGATTATTTGTCGCTTTACCTTCAAGGATCTCCAAGACTCGGCCCCACATTTGCACCATCTCCACTGACCTCTCCCCGTGCTGCCATCACTCTTTCCAAGCCAGAGAGGAAAACGCCCTTTCTATCCATTCTGCACACGTTCCTACTCTGCACGTGTACTGGATGCTTCCGCATCCCCTTTTGCTGTTTCTTACATTCCAATCTGACCTTTGTCCACATCCAGGTCAAATGTAACTTCCTCCTGGAAGCTCCTCCTTGGATCTGTACAAGCTGGATCCCAGATCTCTTCAGCACCCTGACTGATATCGCATCTCAGGTGATGTCTCAGGCAGACCACGAGAGAGACCAACCGACTAGGTATCCACCTTCTGCTTGCTCTGTATTATTTCAAGTTTGTTTAGGCAATAGAGATCCAAGTTTGAAAAAACATCTCTAAACCCTATCTCTCTTTTCCTGCCTCTTACATCTTGGGGTGATCACATGACACAGTTCAGCTCAGTGAGCCAGTGGAAGACAAATGCTATAAAGTGATTGCCAGTAAATAAAATTCAGCTCCCCATTGCCATCACAATTGGACTGTTTTTTTGCATATAATACTAGCTAATAAAATACCGAAGCTTGGTTTGCAAAACCTAAGTTTTCATAATAAAGTAAATCAATTTCAGAAAGAGTTGAAGATGCTCTTTCCCCGGCAGCAATAAATCAACAGATTTTGTTGGGTGTTAGAAAATGGCTCAAGGAATTGAATTTGATACTGTGCAAAACTGAGAATGTTTATAAGAATACCAGTCGGCAGTAGATTTGTATGAATATTCATGACTATGACTGACTTGTTCTAGTCTGTGTTAATATAAATCTGCCCTTGGAAGAACAATTTGAACAAAGTGGTCTTATGAGACACTACAGACATTAGAAATTATTCCATGTCTTATGAAAATGTTCTCCAAATAAAAAGGCTGTGTTGTTGTACCTGATGATTTCTTGCTCTGGTAACGCGAATACTGTAATTGACATCTCGGTTTTCCCAAGTTGTAAACCTCTCTGTAGGATCATACTCTTCTCCTCTCCCACACGAACCATGGAGAACTAAAATCCTTGACTCTGCTAGATTAATTATCAAGCACATACTCTGAAAGACTTGGTTTGCCTAAAGCCAAGAGGCTGCTTGCTGGAGATGTTAAGAAGTTCATTTCTAATATTGGCACCACTACCTTTTCCTTGTTGCTTGCTTCCTCCTCCCCAAAACAGGGATGCGATGCTGCAGAGGGAGCAGCTGCCTGGCAACCTCCAGGGTGAAAGCCTGATAACTCGAGGATGCTGATAACCAGAGCGCAGAGAGCCTGCTCCCGATGGCCGTGTGGAGCACTAGTTGGGAAATTTAGAAAACACCTTGCCAGTGAATTCATCCCAGACTCTTTCTTTGAGGGAAAGGCTTGCATTAAATGTCCCTGTGTGTCCACTCAGTGCTTAGATGGGTTCTAGTCTGATAAGTATTTGCTGGGAAAAATAAACAAGCAGAGTTTTGTGACGAGCGCTGGCCCGGGTCTGGGACGCCTGAGTCTGGGCTTCTGGATGCTGTGCCTGGCGCTGTTTCCGGCTGATCCAGTGGACGCTCACAGCCTAGTATCCCTGCTGGTGCCTCTACAGGGTCAGGAGAAACTGATGGGTGCTTTCCTGGCTACATTTGCAGCTTGAGGTGACAACATGACGTGGTTCTGATCAATGCAGTACGAATGGATGTTGGCAAAGCTCAGAAAAAACTTGAAAAAATCATCCTTATGAGATTAGAGTCTACATCAAGAAAAAAAGCATCCATTTCTTGTGCACAGTTCCATGAATTGAAAGATGAATGCATGCATTTGATCAACACCACTAGCAAGATGCAGAAAACTTCCACCAACTGCTTTTTTCGATAGCATATAGACATCCAGTTAGTGTTTTGTGTGTCTACCATCTCCACTGACAACCAATAAGCTTATCTATTAATTTAAGCCCCCCCTTCCAGATTCTTTGGGATTTTCAATGTACACAATCATGCTGAGTGTAAATAAGGACACTCATTTCTTTCTTTTCAATCTGTTTTTTTCCCCCTTAGCTTATTGTCCTAGAGAGGGTCTGCTATGCAAAGCTGAGTAGAGAGGTGCCTGTATATGTCCTTGCCTTGTTCCTGATCTTAGGTAGTTTTTTCATAGATACTCTTTATTAGCCTAAAACATCCCTTTCTTTTGAGTTTGCTTGGGCTTCTTTTTTAAAAATCATAAATGGAGGTTGAATTTTGTCAAATGCTTTCTCTGATTCTATTGAGACAGTGGAACTCAGAGAGCTTTTCTTTGACATTTTACAGATTGATTTTCAAATACTGAATCAACCATGTATTCCTGTGATACACCCACATGATCACATGTCGCACTTGCAGGAAAATGATGCACCATGGGATTACAATGTTATATGAAGTAAATCAGACACACAAACATAAATATCACATGGGTTATCTTATGTGAGAAACCCTAAGTGTAAATAAAGAGCAAAATAAAAGCTAGATAGTAAATAAGTAAAGCTAGATCTTTCACAAAAGGCAAAGGAGGACCAAGAGACGATGGGAGCAGAAGGGATAGGAGGTTAAGGGGGTGAAAAAAGACAAATTGTGTTATGCACATGTACCAGCTCCCCATGAGGAAGGTAACCATTGTGTACTGCAAACATGTATTCATAAAAAATAAAAATTGAAAAAAACATTCTTGGATTTTGCTAATATTTTTTGAGCATTTCTGTATCTATCGTCAAAGGGATATTGGTCCCAGCCCTCTGGGAGGCTGAGGCAAGTTTGAGCCCAGTATAGGCAACTTAGCAAGACCTTGTCTCAATATTTAAAAATAAAAATAAAAAAGGCTAGTGATGTAGTTCAGTGTAAAGGCCCTGGTTTCAATCCCAAAGGCCACACACACACACACACAAAAGACATTGGTCCATAGTTTTCTCGTAATCCTATGGCAGATTTTTATATCAAAGAACTGTAGTCTTCATAAAATAATGGAGGATATAGTATTCTTTTTCTATATTATGAAAAAATTGCATATTATAAATACTTCTTCCTGAAGTGTTTGGGAGAATCTACCAAGGAAGCCACCCAAACCTAGAGTTCTTTTGGCAGGAATATCTCTAACTATGAGTGCAAGTTCCGTAATAGATACAGGACCATTCCTTCTGACTCCCAGCCTCCAGACTGTGAGATCAATTTCTGTTGTTGTAAACCACTCAATCTGTGGTGCTCTCCTATGGATTTCCGAAAAAACTAATGTATCTTGTGGTTTTTTAAAATATTTGATCCACTAGTTGTTGAGAAATATATTGCTTAATTTCAAGATATCTGCTGATTTTCTAAATGTGTCATTAATTTCTAATTTAAGTCCACGTGGCTAGAGAACATATCTTACATGATTTTCATTCATTTCAATTTGTTGAGTATTTATTAATGACCCAGAATATGGTCTATGAGTAAGTGTTCCATAGGCCCTTGAAAATAATGTGTTTCCTACTGTTGCTGGGTAGAATATTTTATAAATGTTGCTTAGGTCGATTTTGCTGACGGTAAGGCAGGAGATTACGGCAGGGCTAAGACTAGCTGAGGAAGTAGGCGGAGCCTGTCAATTACAGTGTTCCAGGCTACCTGCACAGAACAGTTCCCCAAGCTGGGCATGTGGACTTCTCACGAGGACTCACGCAGGTTTCTGATAGGATGACTGAGACCTGGCACCAGCCTCAGGAGCGGGACATACAAAAAAGGGCGGTCGCCATTGGGCTCTGGTTACAGTGTCTCCTCACGGTAGCCTGGTCCTGTCCTGTTAGGTGTACTTACATTTTCCTACTTTCACTAAGCCCAGATAAGCTCAGCAGAGCCCCTTCCTCTTCCCATCTTTAATAAATGTAAAACGTTGCCACTGTTTGCGCTTGTCTTGACCAACTTTTTGCTCAAGACAGAAAGAACCTAGAAACCATCGCTAGGAGACTCCAACACCCCCAAACCTGAGAAGAATAGTGCTTCATATCCATAGTTTTCATCTACTTGCTCTGTCAGTTACTGAGAGGAGAGAGTTGATTTGCCTAATTCTCCTTTCAGTTAGAGCAGCTATGTATGTATATATGTATGTGTATGCATGTGTGTGTATATATGTATATGTATGTGTGTATGCATGCATGTATATGTGTGTATGGGCGTACATGTATGTGGATATGTGTATATGTGTGCATTCATGTGTATGCGTGCGTGTATATGTGTGTGCATGTGTATGGGTGTGTGTGTGTGTGTGGATGTATGTAGCAGTACTGGGTCTTGAATCTATGGACTTAAGTTTGTACCACTGAACTATATTCCCAGGCCTTCTTATTTTTCCTTTTATTTTGAGATAGGGTCTTTCTTAGTTGCTCACACTGTCCTTTAACTTGTGATACTGGTGCCTCAGCATTCTGAGCAGCTGGGGTTATAGACATGCACCACAATGCCTGGTTGGTTTGTTTTTAAAATAAAAATTTTACTTAGGAATTCCCAGAATCTAACTATTATGGAGACCATAATGGGGTGTGTGTGCGTGCATGTGTGTGTGTGTGCATGTACCTGTGTGTGTGTATTCTGGCTCCATATCCATTCAAGTTGGAATTTGGTTAAATCTCAGTAAACAAAGAACCGAAGGTTATTGCTGATGAATTTTTCTTCATCTGAAACTGACTCTGAGCTACTGTTTTTTTAAACAGATTTTTTGAGATATAATTCAGACACCAGAAAAATCCGCCTCCTTAAAGTATGCAATTCAGTGGTTTTTAATGTATTTACAGAGTTGTGTAAATTTCACCACTATCTAATTTTAGAACATTTCCATCTCCCTAAAAAGGAACTCAGTACCCATTAGTGGTCACTTACTATTTCTTCTTTTATGTATTCTGAAGCGACCTCATTACAGGCAACCGTATTTAGACTCTTATACAACTCACTTGTTCTCTGTTAATTGACCTCTTATCATGCTGTTTCTATCCTTCATGACTTGTTTTGATTCCTATTTTGTCTGATTGCAACATGATCTCTCTAGCGTTCTTTGAATTAGGCTTTTGTTTTTATAATTTTGTCCTTTTACTTTGAAATTATCTAAGAATTTATATGGAATTTAGGTCTCTTGTAGATATCGTACACCTGGAATTTTCTCTGCTTTTCAATTTGAATGCTTATGTTATTAATAGTATAATTATTTATATGGTTGCCTTTAAATCTATCATCCTCCTAATTTTTATTTGTTCCATGTACTCTTTGTTTCTGCTTTCTTCTTTCTTTTCCAATATTGCATACGGAGAGTATTTTTATAATTCTATTTTATTTCCATTATTAGCCATAGTTTTAGTCACAATAGTTCATAGTTTATAGTCCACTATAGTTTAGTTTTAGTTTTAGACAATTTTTAAGTTGTTGCTACAGGAATATATCTCTTAAAGTTATTATCCTATTCACCTTCACATAGTAACATGCTGCTTAATGTGGAGGAAAAAAACTTCATAACACTATATTTCTATTTCTCCCATCCTTTGAGCTGTTGTTTTTACACACTGCATCTCATGGTGTTTTATGCACCCCTAACGTGCTGTATTTTCTTTTAGGATGTCGCAGGATGTGTGTTCTCCACTCTGCCCACCCCCACCCCCCAGCTGTACTAACCAGGGTGTGCAAAGCACAGTGGTCAGGACTGTGGCTCTGCAGTCAGCTGCCTGACTTCAAGCTTGGCTCCATCACTTGCCAGCTGTGTAGCTGCGGGCAAGTCACATCCCCTCTCTGGGCCTTGGCTTCTTCACCTGCAATGGGTAGATTGTAACAGTAACCATCTTGTAAGATTACGGGGAAGATTAAGTGAGCTAATGTATGTAAAATCCACAGAACAGAGCCCAGCACAGTGGAAGCCCTGAATAAGAGTTCATGATCACTCACATCACCACTACCGGCTTCTGTCCTTTTCAAATTATGACTACTTTCCACTGTCATCTCTCTCCAGTGATGTTTTGGTTCAAGACACAGCTCTCTGCTTTTCCACCCTGGTTTCTGCCTTTCTTGAACTTCTCCCTCCTTCTCACAGCAAGAAGATGTTACCCAGGCTTCTCCCTCCTGTTGACCAACTCTTTCCCTTTTTACACCCAGACACCCCCCCCCCTTAAAACTCTTCCCTCTTCCTCTAATTTACAACCTCAAATTAAAGGTTAGGAAGAATTATAGGCTGGTTCCAGGTGAGGCTTTGCCAGTAACTGGCTAACTCTGGGCAAGTCCTGGTCCTCTCTGGTACCCCTCATTTTCCTCACCTGTAACCGGGGAGCGTTTTATTGCGGAGTATGCAGTGATCCTCCAAGTCTCCTTTCCTTCCCCAGGCCCCCAGCCCATCCATTGGTTGTCTTCAGTCCATCACTTTCCTCTCCCCCCAAAATCATTTCCTTTTCCAAATTTACCTCCTAGTCCCAGGTTCTGAGTACTCTCACCAGGCCCTTCCTCACCATGTCTCCACCTGGCTATTTCCTTGAAAATTGAATGTCCTCCTGGGATTTTGCTGCAAGCACCAGGTGATTGATTGGCTGACTTATAATTATAGAAACTCTGATCAGAAAAATTACTTTCTTTTTTTTTTTGGTACTGGGGATCGAACTCGGGTCCTTAGCTTGCGAGGCAGGCAGTGGAACCACTGAGCTAAATCCCCAGCCTGGAAAAATTACTTTCTAGAGGAACAAGTTGATTGGAAGGATTTAAGGACTCAGGATGACCTTTAAGTCCTGACACGTGGAATAGCTGTGAACAGGCCACTGAGAGGGACTCAGAGGGAGTCACTGCATGCACAAGGCTAACTTGTCAGGTGGCCTGGGTGTCCCGTGGAGCCTCGCCACTTTCGCATTGCTGGATGTCACGTGCTACCATAACCAGTGGATATCACGTGGTACCCGCTGGAAGTTGCAGGGATGCCCCGGCCAAGTCAGCTCCGTAGGTGCACCAATCAGCACATGTGCATTGTTCAGAGCCAGTCAGGACCTGCGATGTTCACGGGGGCTGCTGGGAAGGGGCAGACTGTGGAGAACCCATGGGTTTCTACCACCCGACCGGGTACGAAGTAACTGTCACTCCTGGACCACTTTTAGCCCGGTGTCCCCAGCCATCAGGAGAATCATTGTTCTTGAGCAAATGGTTGTTGACTCCTGCCAGCCCTGGGTGAATCAGCTGTTGAGGGACACTGCTCTCTTCTCCCAGTACCTGTGGGCAAACAGGTGATGGGCTGATTGGAAGCCATTGATCGAGAGACAAATGCCCAGTGCTTCACTCCTAGGGTTCATCAAAAGGCACCCAGTGTACCACATTTTGTGCCGTGCAGCATATACCCTATTGACAGCAACAACACTCACGAAGAAGCCTTGTCTCTCCATTCTCATCCCCAAACCTATACCCGACATCCCCAACCTGGTTCCCATCCTCTCTCCCATGTCCCTTTTGAGTTCATTCTCTTCTCCTTTCCCAAACCTCCCACTCTTCCTCTCCTTTGTTTGCCTGCCCTCTAGAGGATTTGTTTTCTTTAGTCAAAGCAAACACCAAGACATTAGAGGTTCCTATCTTCAACCCAACACTCCTGCAGCACGAAGTGCACACTGACTATAATCCCTCTCCCCCTAATTACACAGCCCTGAAGGAACTAACTCACCACGAGTGAGGATAAAATGTGCCTGGGAAGTTCTGATCCCTCTCTCTTGCTGCTCACTCTGTGTTCCAGCCTCGTGGGCCTGATGTGGGCCCCTGAACTGGCCAAAGCTCTCCCTTCTTAGAGCCTAGAATCTGCTGGCCCCTCTGGCTCGCTCCTAATAATACTTTAATATTCAACACAGCTGTTATTTTCTCTGAGATCCAAACTAGAATTCTGATTCTGTGATTCAAACTCTGTTCTGTGATCCAAATGAGGTTCATTTCCTGTAACTTTCTGTCAGTGTTCTGTCCTTTTCCTTCCAAGCACTTACCAACATTTCGAACTACATATTTGTGTTTCTTCATGTCTGCAGACTTTGTGGAGACCTGCATGGAGGCCAGGCCGCTGTGCTGCCTGTTCCCACATTATCCGGCACATTGTTGATGTTTGTGTTTCTGCGGAATGTGTGAACCGCATGTGTGTGTGTGGGGGGGGGTCCCTGTAGCTGTGAGGTTTTATATAAACATTTGCCCTCAGCACAAGATGAATATCTCACTAGTGCTGCAGGATCCCTGTGTTTACTCACAAATACTGCCCCAGGGAAAAGATGATCCCCTTCCCACTCAAGGAAAACTACTGACATCTAGCTCCAAAAAGGAGGGTGTCCTCCATTTTGAGAGGACAATACATAACCATAGTCCTTTGTAATGCCAGGATACCATTCTTATTCCTGCATCTCTGTCTTTCAGCTTGGTGAAGAAATACTGCAATAATCTCCTTTCTAGACGCTCTGCCTCCTGTTTTATCTCTTCTAAACAGAGAGAGGGAGAGGGGGCGGGAAGGGGGGAGGGCGGAGCAACAGGAAGGCTCACAGCCAGCCGGCCTGGATGTGCTGTGCAGCCTCTCCAGCTTCCCACCTGCTGGACGTCAAGGGACGCCTGCTGGGAGTCGCAGGGATGCCCAACCAAGCCCCACCCTACAGGTGCATCAACCTTGTAGGGCTTCAGAGAGAAAGAGAGGGAAGGGGAGGGGAGAGGAGAGGAGATTGGGATAGGGAGGGAAGGAGGAAAACGATGATTCTGCTGTATTGCTTCAAGCCATATAACAGCATATAACCCATCCATCCAGTTATTCGATGAACACTTTTGAAAGCTTCTTACATTTTAGGCATAATTCACGGTGCTGGTGATAGAAGTACAAAATAAGACAGAGAAGGCCCCTGTTCCCATGGAGCTTATGTTCTAAGAGAGTCGGGGACAAGGTCCTGTGCGCTCAAGTTCCAGGCCCTTAGCTTGGCATTCAGGGCCAGCGTGGAGTCTCTTCTCTGCCTGACTCTGTGGATACCACGTCCTGCTCCCCCTTCACCCAGATATGTGTCATGAGGACAGTGAAGTTCAAAGAGGGTGACAGGGCGTAGAGCCCTGACACACTGAAGTTAGAATCTGATCCAAATATGGTGGCTTCAGCGCTCTTGTATGTGCACCTTGGATGTTGACCACTTAGCAGGGGCTCAAAAGCTACTTCCGGATGGTTCTGCTTTGTAGTTTTTTGCGTATTTGTCCTTCCTGTGACACTGTTTCAGGTTGGGGCATGTTCCTTTCGGCTCACCCAAACAGCCAGGCATAGGATTTGCCTTCACAGGTTGTGCGGTCAGGTCCAAGTTTAAGTGTTCATCAATGGGGAACCAGTGTGAAGCACAGAGAGGGGTTGAGAAGGCTTTGTGGACTGAGGGCATCAGATTTGTTATGGCCTCCAGGGTTTCTGGGGCTCCAAGGGCTTTGTGGACTTTTGTAATTCTGGGGTGAATGGGGTCTCCAGGTATGGCGCCGATTCCACAGGCTTCACTGACTCCGGTCTACCTTGTTTGCCTAGAAGGGGCACAGAGCAGGGCAAAGGAAGAAGAATGTCAGAATAGCTCTAGAGGTGACACATCCGAGCCTTAGAAGGGCACCCCTTTGAGAACAGAATTCAGGCAACACGGGTCAGGCACTCTGTTCACCTTGCCTCACAGACCCCTGCTCAGAGCCTGCAGTGCTGTCTTCTCCTCTGGCTCCATCCCGTCCCTGTAGATCCCCTTCCCAGGAGCCCCAGGGTTTCCCTCAGATCCATCTGGAATGCCTTGCGTGACTTCCTCGACCAGGTTTGGTCCCTCCCTCCTCGGGGCCACAATAGCCTTGTGCTCAGTCCTCTTTCTGGGAGGGCATCTAGCCCATCACCTTGCTCTGAGGCCAAGGCTCGGGGCCGCTCCATTTCTGAGACCCAGCATTGCCCCACACAGAGCTGAGGACATATTGCTGGGCCTGCAGGAAATACTGGCAAGGCTTCACAGGTGCAGTCCTTTACACAGGGTGTTGGAAGGGCAGCTGGGCAGCTCTGGTCTTGGAGAATCACAAATGGTAAATAACAGCAAGGTCCGGCCCCCTCCAGCACCGACCTTCCCCAGCCCCGCTGCGGGTGTGAGGTCTGCTTGGTTTCCAAGTGTGTGGCGCTGACTTGGGCCTGTGGCATCTGTGCAGTGCCGACCACTGCCTGCTGAGCACCCACAGACCAAATCTTTGGTTTCCACTCCGATGCTACAACCACTCCGCAGGGTTCCCCCAGCCCTCCTCTCAAGACTCTGTGTGTGTGTGTGTGTGTGTGTGTGTGTGTGCGCGCAAACTGCTGATTCTAATTGCTCTTTAAATGATTTCTCTTAATTTTCATCTTCCATAAAGCTCTCTGGGACTTAGCTTTATTATAACATGAACTGCTGGCACGTTCTGCATTTAGATGCCCTACAGGATTGGAGATAATCCCTCCAAAGCACTGCAGGGCCTCTGCTCGTGGGTCTTAACGTTATTCTGGTGCACTGGATTCCAGACACAGCGGGTACCTACCAAGAGCTCGCTCTCAGAAGATGGGATGATTATGGATTTTCCTGGTTCCTCAGGCTTCAGAGGCATCTTAGACTCTTGGGCTGCTCTGAATTCAGGGCTCTTTCGCGCTTCGAGGCCTGCAGTTTTCTCTGCCCACTTCATTCTGATATGTTTCACTCCAAGGAAAGGAGCTTGCAGTCAGTTCTGGCTTTCCACCTCTCCATCGGGCTCTGGTCTGCACCAGACCTCCTGCTTCAGAGCTGCAACAACACTCCCAGCTCGCCGTGTTGTCTGGGGCAAGCCACACGCCCTCTCGGGAAACCGGTTTCACTCCCTAAATGACTGGGCAGATGGGGTCAGCTATGATGGGCTCTTTTACACTGCAGAGAGATTCTTACTGCTCTTTACGCCCGGCTGATTTTGTTTTGGAAATGGCCCCTCCGTTTTCTCTGCCACCTGCTCTCTTCTCTCTCTCTCTCACCTGTCTTACTGGCCTGGCTCTGGCCTGGCCCTTCCCTGCTTAGACAGAGACATCAGCTTCCTGCCTGGCTCTTCCTTTCTGGCCTGTGTCCATCTGGAGCTCACACTTTGTTCCCAGCCGTGTAGCCTGCAGGACCCTTGTCCAGCTCTCTGACCCGACCCGCAGCCGCTCTGCCCTGCTCACTCTCGGCTTCTAGCCAAAGCATCCAGCCAAGTTTCAAGGGTCTTTGTGAACTGACCCCGAGGGCCTCGTGCAGCCTCACTTGTAGGCGCTACCTGTCACTCTCGAAGCAACTGAAATTACACAGAGACAATGAAGTGCTCCAAATGTGCCCTGGGCGTCTGCACGTACTACTTTTCAACACAAATGGAACAAAAAAACCTGAATACTTGGTCCTCCAGGCCCACCTCAGGCAGCACCTTGGGAACTCTCTGCTGGCTTCTACAAGGCCACCACTCCTTAGGTTTCTCCCTTGAGAATGCACTGGAAACATCAACCCCGTGGGGCTGTTTCATGGTCCAGGATGGTGGTAGCTATGTTTGGTGCCTCTTTCCCTGCTCAGATTCAGCTTTGCCCTTTCTGTGCCAGAGCCCCAGGCAGTGCCGGTCACATAGCGAGGTATGGGAGAAGCTGCAGGTAAAGTTTAACCCTGCTATTCTAGCTCAGTTTGAATGCATCCCCCCAAGTTTCACGGGTCAGAAACTTAATCCCCCAAATCACTGTTACTGGTGTTTGGAGGTGGGGCCTCTGAGTGGCAACTAGGATGAGGCGGCGTCCTAGGTACAGGCCTCTATAGTGGCATTAGTGGTTTTATGAGGAGAGGAAGAGAGACCTGCACCAGCCCACTTCCTCTCTCTCCCTGTGAGGTGTGGTCGGCCATGTTTTCATGTAGCAAGAAGAACCTCGCCAGACACCAAGGAGATGATGGCTTCGTGCTCTTGGACTCCCCAGCAACTGGACCTGTGAGCCAACGAAACATCTCTTCTTATCAATTATCTGGTGCCAGCAATTTTGTTACAGCAGCATAAAAATGAGGTAAGACAGACTTACACGAGGGGGAAGAGCCACAGGAAGAGCAGCAGGACTGCAGTGGACCCCTGAACAGCACCCTGGACCAGCCCTTTCAAGAAGAACTGAGCAGTCCAAGGACTTCTTCCTGGAAGCAGAGAGCATGTGATGAGGGCTTCTCTCCTGAGACTTCAGTAACCCAAATTCTGCTTCCTCCTCCAGCCTCAGTGCCAGGGCCCTGCCAGACACCGAGACCCCCCCACCACTTGACATCAGTAGGACACTCAGAGCATGGGTTCCATCTTGGTTCTTGCCCTCACAGAGAAGGCCCCTTCCCATCTTTGGCTCCTTGGACAGGCGATGGTGCTGTTGGCCCAGGGGCCGTGTGTGGCGGAAGTCACCTGGGAGCTGCCATCTGCACTGTTCACACCCATAGGGGCACCTCCAATCTACCACGGCAAGGTTGGCGTGGGGACCCCGTGGAAGGAGCAGCTGCACCACACTGTCTTCTCCAAGGAGCAAGAGAAGCTGAGCAGCCTGGCAGGTGCTGTGGAGAGGGAGCCAGGAGTCAGCCAGGCATGCAACTTTCCTTCGTTTCTTCCAAGGCCCGCACTTCTTATTCGTGCAGATTCAAGAGGAGCTTCAGAGAGAATTTCTAGAGGCCCACAAGATAGAGCCTCACCAAGTCCTTCTGGGTGGATGGTGATTGAAATTCCTGAGGATCTACAGTGCCTCTGATCCCTCACCCGCACCAGGGTTGACATCAAGCTTGATGGCCCACCATGCTTTCTGTCTGCCATGCCCAGCTCCCTTAGGCTCTGTGATCCGTTTCTCCTCCATCAGTGTCCAGATACCACTGGGCAAGTCCACTGCCTTCTCTGCTGGAAAATGGGGACATTAACTGAACCTGTCTCACAGCACCACTGCCATAAAAAAAAAGTCCTAAGCGTTGTAGTGTTCTTAGCTCAATGCATGATAAAGTATCACTCATTCAATAAAAACCCTTTTATTTTATTCTTCCCAGTCTGAACTGGCCTTTGATGGAATTTTCATCTGAAGCCAAGATTGCTGTAATGTTTCTGTGGCAATAGACTTGGAAGTGCCTTAATCTACGTAGCTTCGTTAGGCTATATGGACCATTTGGTGAATATCTTGAATTAATGAGAAGAATCACATTCTTCAGGACGACCTCCAATAATAAGGAATCTGAGTTTAGTGCTTTCTGTACTCTTTCCCTGGGGTTTTTTGATGTGATGAGAAGGAAGGGGTTATTTCCCCTTTACTGTTATCCCTTCCTCCTGGGCTTCTTATCTGGGCCACTGGGAGGAGGAGAAACTTTCAGTGGGTTGTGATGCACAGCCCTTTCCACTGCTGCCCCTGGGTGGTCCTTTCCATCTGGAAAGAGCAGCCATGGAGCTAGGGAGGCATCCATGGAGACAGAGCAGTACCCATGGAGGCACAGAGGTGCTGAAAACTCAGTACCCCAGGGCTTCCAGGGGTACCTGCAATAGCTCGTCTGCACAGCAGCCTGACTGAATCACCACCCTCACACCCAGCCCCATTTCCCAGTCCCGCTAGAAGCTGGCACACGGAAGAAGCCTAACCCACATTGGTTATCTGGTGCCTATACCTTTACGTCCTCTCCACTCAGCCCCACAGCATGCCCAACCCCTGGCTTCCCTGCAGGATGCCAGCTCTGTTCCCATCCCACTCACCTGGCACCCCCATGTGCAGCAGCAACAGATCCCAGGACAGGAGAGAGCTCTTAATGTGCTGACTCTAACATCAGAACTGTGGTTCAGAAGACACCGGGTAGTGGGTAACTGAAAGAGGATGTGGGAGAGAGACAGTGGAAAGTATTCTCAGTGAGGCCAGGGCTTCTGTCTCCAGGCCTCCTGTTCACCCGGAGAAGCAGGAATTACATGGGGTGACCCCCAGTAGCACCTACGGACAGGCAGGCTCTGCTATGAGCCTCGGTGATGCCCCAGTGCCATATCCCGTTTCGTAACTCCCCCTCAGTCTTCCACTCCCAGTCTGCACTTCCTTGGGAGGGTCTCCAATGCTGGGTACTCTGACTTCTGTCTTGACTCTAACGGGGACCCATGGAAAGGTTGTGCACATGGAGGGACAGGGTGAGGAGGTTTGCACTGTCCCAGTGAGGCCATAGGAGAAATGGCCTGGATGGGAAGCGACTGCAGGACAGATGGCCAGGGGCAAGTCTGCTGTGGTCAGGAAAGAACGACACCTCCAGTGCCGGAGCTGTGAGGAACGCAGAGTGACTCAGAGGGACAATGAGGATCATATTTCTTTTTTCTTTTCTTTTTCTTTTTTTTTGGTACTGGGGATCAAACTCGGTACCTTACGCTTGCGAGGCAGGCACCAGAATCACTAAGCTAAATCCCCAGCCCAAGATTTCTATGGTCCTTGTAGTGCCCCAGAAATAGCATCAATCAACCAGTCAATTCAAGACAGAAAGTCATGAGTGCATACAGTAAGATTTAGGGTTAAGTTATCCGCTCACAGAGTTATAAATTGTAAACTTTTCAAGCTTATAGGGAAATAAATAGAATAAAAATCAATACAAGAGAAGACAATAATTTTATCTCCTTGTTCACATTATTCCCTTACTTCTACTTTCTTTATGTTTAATATGTTCTCTTCTAAATGATCAAAGCTTCAGCTGCACCCCAAGTTTTAATACTTTTCTCTCCATTATTAAGTTTTCATTATTAGTTTTCATTATTATTAAATTACCAGTGTATGTCCAGCTGAATATATAAAAAGAAGGATAATACAAAGTGTTGGTGAGGATGTGTGGTACTGAGCTTTCACACATTTATGAGACTATAAATCAAGGCAAGCACAGTATTTATAACAGTGGAAGATACACATACTCTATGACTCTCAGTTCTGCTCCTAGATCTATACCCAAGATAAGTATCTGTATGTGTACACCAAAATACAAGTGCAAAGATGTTTGTAGCAGTATTATTTATAAGAACAAAAGTATCCAAACATCATAAAAGTAAAATAGAAAAATAAACAATTTTCCTACATAGCAATCAAAATGTGAATTAATTCTAGATGCAACAACATGGATCAGTTTCACAAGTAAAATATTGAATGCATGAAGCCAGGTATAAGTGAATAATAAAGTATGATTACATTTATTCAGGAAAACACTAGATAAATCAAAATATAATGTTTATGGATGCACTCATAGGTTCTAAAATCATTCTGGAAATGGACTAGCCATGCCTACCCTAAATGTGGGGAGAGTAATTGCCTTTGAGGGGTGGAAGGAAGTGGTGATTAGTAAGGAGTATAAGCACATCTTCTGAGATACTGATTGTAGTGGTTCGCATAGGGTCATACCTTACCTGGGCGGACCTCTAACAGCCCACTTCCAGGGCCCATCTGCCTGATCATATGTCCAGGTCCTTGGCCACTGCCCCTGAGTTTTTCGGGGCTGTTCACCTCACTGAACTGACTCTTCTCTTTCTTCAGTCAAGCTGTCAGTCTTCCAAACAAGGTATTGTCCATTCACTTTGGAATTTCCACCCACAAACCAAGAAGCTCTTAGTTGGTCAGTTAAGAACTATTCCTAGACACCATCTGAGTAATTAAAAGATGTAGCAATTCCTTAAGTGGTTCCAAAGTTGATCCTAGGGGAAAAGCAGCCACCTGCTTCTGAATGCCTTTCCTAGGTGGCATGCTCCTTTAGAAACCATTTCCATTGTATTACAGAATTCTTCTGGGAATGGACTTCATTGTTGGAATGTTTATCCAGCATTACCAAACACATCATGGCTGTCGGGTTTCAGGATTATTCAATATCCTTCAGTCACTGGAGCAGTTTTAAAGCCCAATAGCCAGCGCGCTGTCTGAGAAGAAAAATTTCTGGCCCCAAATCCCAGCATTCGCCACTAGGTGGTGCTCACTGGCTTTTGTGATCGCTCAGTCTGCCTAAGGACTCCTCAAGATTTCTTTGAAGTGGTTTTTTGGGTCACAGCTAGCAGTATTCTGTGGGTAAGTGTGAAAGATGTGTCCTTCAAAATCCAAATAAAGGGGCTTGGGATTTAGCTGAGTGGTGCTGCCGCCTGCCTCACAAGTCCAAGGTCCCAAGTTAGGTCCTCGGTACCCCCCCCCCAAATCCAAATAAAAACCAAAAAATGAGATTCTATCATATTTTATCCATCACATATCCTATACTGTTTCAAATTAACAATCTGAGTGGGTTTGAGGAATTTTTCTGTAAGGTTCCCAGTTAGTATACTCAGTCAATGTTGGTTGAAGGGGGAATTTACACACCTTCTGAAGGTTTTACAATAGTATGAAGAAATGTTCACCAATTAGACACAATATTCATCCCCATAATGCATCCAGGTTAATAAATTCACAGAGTTCTCTCATACAGTCTGGCCAACCATTCCACTTTTCACCCAAACTTTCACCTTAATCCCACCAACCCTTACACAATTCTCTATCTTTCCAATCAAACTTCAAGGAACTCCCCAACAGATTTGGAATTAGGGTTTGGGACACCCATGCCAAAGAGTTCCAGAAATATCGCTTACTTCCAGACCATTTTGCCACTAATGTGTTTACGGGTTTTGGTCCCCAGCTGGGGGTAGGCCAAGGGACTCAGGCCCTTTTGTCACTTATATTGGTTACATTATTTGTACATCACCTCAGGAGATTCGAGGTGAAGTTTCTCCTTGTGGTTTTTGCCTTCTGGCTTTTAATATTCTCCCAAACTAGAGTAAATAGGGCAGAGTCCACTAGGGCTTTTCAATGTTGGGGACAGCATGATGTAATGATATTGTCACTGTTGTGCTTTGGGTCTAGATATGCCCCCAAAGTCTCCTGCGGTCAGAGGTAGCTAAATCTGGAATGTGTGATGCTAGGATTAAGGGCATGTGATTACTAAACCACTAGGCATGAGTGTTTGGTTTGGTACCACCCAAACCTGGTAGTCTGACTCAGATAAAAGGAGCAGAAAGACACAGTTAAGGTCCCTGTTCCCTTTGCTACCTTGTGTGTTCCATGTTGTTTCTCCTCTGCGATGCATTTGCCATCCCTGCCTTGGAGCCAGCCAATTATGGACTGAAACCTCTACTAACTGTGAGCCAAATAAACCCTTCCCCTTTAACTTTTGGTGCTGAGTATTGTGTCTCAGGGAGAGAAAAGTAACTAACACAGTCACTATACGCACAGAAACTCACCCAAGCCTTGAGTTCAGAGTTTTTACTGTGCCTCTATTGCACAAATTTGTTGATGTCTTGCATATCTGACCTTAGTTCCTGGCTCCTCCGGAAGCTGAGCCAATATCACTCAATCCAGTGTCCCCATTCTGAATCACATGGCTGCAGTGTCTGGTATGATCAGGTGTCACTCTGAAGCTCATTGTTAAGAATATCTGGTGTGGGTGGCTGGGACACTGAGTCACATTTTTAGATGACTCAGTGTGACGTAAGGCCCACTGGACCAACAGAGACACTTCTATAAGCATGGCCTTTCAAGAGCCTAGAGATTATCTCCCAGAGGTCAGGACAAAGCCTCTCTTCAGGGAAGGCTAAATTCCTTACCACACAACATGACACATCCTCAATGCAAGACTGCAGTTGTCTCGAGTATTGAAAGTGGGAGCTATGTCTGAGAAAAGGGATATCACCAAGTAGTTTTAAATTGTAATACAGATGGCCGGTATGTGTTCCTGTTATGTCATTTTTATATCTTTCTGTATCTCTGAGCTATTTCATAATATTTGAGTGAAACTTGGATCATTTGTCATTCATGAAAAAGCTTTATGTATTATATGTGAATGTATATAACTACATATCCATATATACTATGCTCATTAACATATATACAAGAATGAATAAAACAAAGATATGGACAACGGAGAAGCTTGCTTGTGCTTATATGATGAATGTTTGATAGAATGTATGATAAGCTTATCTGAATGACAAATGTGTGATAAGCGTACTGTGCTTACTTATGGGTAGAGAGCAGTGATTAGAGAAATGAAGTAGAATTTTAAAGTTGTTTTTATTGCCAGCTTCATGGACGTATAACTGACAAGAATTGTACAAGGGCTGGGGATTTAACTCAGTGGTTCCAGTACCTGCCTTACAAGCTCAAGGTCTGGAGTTCGATCCCCAGTACAAAAAAAAAAGAAAAAAAAAGAATTGTACATACTTATGGGGTGCAACATGATTTACTATAGGAACACGTCGTGAAAGGAGAACCACAATCAAATGAATCTGCCAGCTCACACAGTAATGCAATTAGTCAGGGTTTTCCAGAGGAAGAGAACCAGTAGGACTCAAGGATTACGGAGAGGACTGATGAGACCAGGCTCCGGGACCTGAGGCTGAACAGTCCCACAGCGGCCATTGGTCTGCGGGCTGGGGAGGCCAGGAAAACTGGTAGCAGCTCACACCAAGAGGCCGGAAGACCCGGAACAAGGGGGGTTACTGATGCAGCCCCTTGGAGGCTGCAGACCCGAAAGCTCCTTCCACAGCTGCTGATGCAAGACCTGGGCCGAAGGCAGAAGTGTCTGGAGCCCCCTGGCCATGGGTGGCAGCAGAGCCCGGATTCAGGGCAGGCCTGGCAACCAACGGGCCTAATTGACCCATTACCAGGCAGGGTAGGCAAGGAAGGGGTGGGTCACCCCTGAACTGATTTACAAGGAGCCTGCTCTTTGACTTAGCAGGGCACTGACCCTAACGCTTGATTGCTGCCCTTCGGACTGACCTGGTGACCGAGGGTGACAGGCTGCCCAGGTTCCTGGCTGACAGCCCAAGACCAACTCCTGTCTCACGACCCAGAGCGGCCACGGGGGGCCCACGGGGCTCACGGGCGCTGTCCTAACAGACCGCGTCTCAAGCTCACTGACGGCTTTGACTGACGCGAGTCGTGTGCCCGGGAGCCCTGGAGGGATCCAGCGCGGGTGCCGCGCGCGGGCCGGGAAGGCGGGCGAGGGTGGGACGTTCGCCCTGGGTCCCATCAGCCAATCAGCAGTCGCGCTCGCGCCCCCACCGCTAATCATATCCACGATCATATCAGCCATCTGAGATAGTATTTCTTCCTTTCCGGTTCCAGCTTTTTATTTATTTTTCTTGCCTACTCGATCTGCCTAGAACTTCCAATAGTAGGTTGAAAAGAAATGGCAAAAGCAGGTGTCTTTGTCTTTTTGCTGCTCTTAGAAGACTAGTCTTTTACTACTGAGTAAGATGATGTCAACTCCGATTTTTTTTCATATATAAACGTTATCGTATTGAAATAATTGTCTTCTATTCCTAACTGTTCAGTGCATTTATCATGAAAGGGTGTTGAATTTTGTCAACTGCCTTGTCTGTACCAATTAAGATAGTCCTGTTTTTTCCTTCCTTCTATTAACATGGCATATTGTGATTGATTTTCATGTGTTGAACCGTCTTACATTTTAGGAGTAAATCCCACTGGTCACGGTGTTCGCTTCTGAACTCATTGGGAACTATTTTGTTGAGGATGTTTGTATCAATGTTCATCAGTGCTGTTGGTTTGTAGTTTTGTTTGCTTGTGGTGTCTTTGGCATTTGTAGTAGGGTAATGCTGGCCTTCTGAAATGAGCTAGGTGTTCCTTTATAATTTTATGGAAGAGATTAAGAAGGATTAGTGCTAATTCCTCTTTAAATGCTTAGTAGGATTTACCAGGTACGCCATCTACTCAATGAATTTTCTTTGTGGGGAGGTTCCTTTCTTTTTTAAAAAAAAAAATTAGCAATTCAATATCCTTACTAGTTGTTAGTCTATTCAAATTACCTATTTCTTCATGACTCAGTCTCGGTAGGTTGATTGTTTCTAGGAATTTGCCTAGTCATTTAGATTATCTGATTCATTTATGTACAACTGTTCATAGCAATCTCTCAAAATCCTTTTTGTTTCTCTAAAATCAGTATGAACGTCTTTGTTTTTACTTATGATTTTCATAATTGTGGTTATTTTCTTAATCATCTAGCTAAAAGTTGGTTAATTTTTTCATCCTTTCAAAGATCCAACTTTTAATTTTGTTGATTTTCTCTGCTGGGTAGTCAGCCTAGGGCCTTCACACTGAGCTGCACTCCTAGCCTTTTTATTATTAAAAATTTTGAGACAGGGTCTTGCTAAGCAGCTAAGTTGTCCAGGCTGGGCTTGAACTCTTTGATGCTCCTGCCTCAGCTTCCTGGAGTGCTGGGATCACAGGTGCAAGCCACCACTCCTGGCTTCTACTCCAATCTATATTATTTCCCAGGGTGTGGCACACGGTGGGCATGCAGTAAAAGGAGGGAAGACAATGAAATGGTGAAAAAACCTCAAGGTGTCCTATATAAATACGATGACATGGAACTGAAATGCTTTTAATTGTTTTGAAAACAGACAAGAAGGCAGAAGCAGGAGGATTGCTGTGAGTTCAAAGCCAGCCTGGGCTACATAGTGAGTTTAGGGCCAGCCTGAAGTACAAAGGGAGACCCTGTCTCAAAAAACAAAACAAAAAGAAAAAAAGAGAGAGAGAGAAGGCAGACAAGAGTGAAATAAAGGCATTTTTGGTGATCTTGAGGGGAAGAACTAGAGAACATTTGCCCTTCTTATCAAGCTGCTGGGTAAGCACAGATGTGGTGGGGTCCTGCTGCCCAGTGCGGGCTTTCCTGCACCTGGACACCGGAAGGACATTTCCGGCTACCACAGTGGGGGGACACTGGCGTTTTGTGAGTAGGACCCAGGGATGTCTCTCACAATGCACAGGGCAACTCCCACGCCAAGGGTCACCCAGCCCAAGTGCCCAGACAGACACCCACCAGATGGACACACCCTGCTCCGATGGGCCACCCGCGGGCAGTGCAGGCATGGGGGAGGGGTGTGCAGTGGCGTGTGAAGAGGCCCAGAGCGGCAGGAGGGAGGGAGGCGGCTGAGGGGAGGGCACATGTCAAGGGTGATGTCGTGAGGGGTCTGGAACCGTTCGCCCGATGGGTGTTTCCAGGAAGGACAGGGCTGGGGGTGTGTTAGGAGCCCCCACTGCTGGTGATATGGGTGATGGGCTGGAAGGGTGAGAAGGCTGGGCAGGAGCCGTTGCTGTGGTTTGTGAGAGACCAGTCAGACTTGGACCTGCGGATGGGTAGGAGGGGCAGAGGAGGAATTGGTGACTCCTGGGAGGGGCGTTGAGGGGAAGAGAAAGTGAGACAGAATTCTGGTCATGGACACATGAACTAGGCCTGTGCTTTGCCTTCACTCTCTTGTACATCCACAGTCTTCCCCTCACCCCTGTGGCAGGGGAGATATGCAAGAGGATACAAGTGCAGAGCCAGTGTCCAGAGCCTAAAGGCCATTGAGCAAATTCATCACTTTGGCAGCCTCTGGCCCTTGGTTGAATGCACGTTGACCAGCACCTCAGGCTGACCATGCTAGGGGCTTACTGCGGGTCAGACACTGTGCTGAGTGGACCGCGGTATTGATTCTCTGAATCCTCAAGACAAACCACAGAGCTAAGTGGTATTATCATCCCCATCTTGTGGACAAGCCTAAGGAAGTAGCAAGAGACTAAGCTGTGAAGCATGTATTTGATACCTAGAGGTCTGACTTCAAAACTTACATTATTTTTTATTGAGATAAAATTCACATAATATACAATAAAACATTCCAAAGTGAACAATTCAATGCATCTAGTACATTCACCTCTGTCTAGTTGCAAAACATTTTTATAACCCTAAGAGTAGACCTTCTACCCACTAAACAGTCACTTCCCATTTCCTCCTCCCCCAGACAACCAAACAGCAAATGATTTTACGTTTCTAGGGACCTACTTACTCTGGACATTTCATGTAAACAAGAGCCATACAATACGTGATCATCACTATCTGGCTTCTTGCACATAGCATCATGTTCTCGAGGTTCATCCATGCTGCAGAATCATGAATACCTCAGCGCTTTTATGGCTGGATGGTCCCCCTGTAGAGGGATGTCCATTCATTAGTGGATAGGCTTTTGGGGTGCTTCCACCTTTCCGCTATTACAAAGGGGAAAATAGTTAACTGCTGATCTCCATTGCCTTTATTAAGACACTTGACTTGTCTCTAGCTCCAGTACAGAGAGCTGAGAGGTGAATGGGATCTAACAGGAAGAAGTTTTAGAATCTCCCCAGGTAGTAGTTGGTACGAAGGGACTGAAAAAGGCTCATGTGGGGAGAACTTTGTAGTTAGACCAAGGGCAAAGCACCCTGTGGGCTCGGGGAGCTCACAGTCCCAGGGGAACGGGAGGAGGAGGTGCAAACTCAGGATGTGGTTCAGCGACCCTTTACAGGAACAGGCAGAGAGGACCCTAGAACAGGAAATGAGAGACTGGAAGAGGGAAGGAAAAGACCTGTTTCACAAGATCCTGTGTCAGGAGAGAAATGGTGTCTGGAGGTGCAGAAGTGCCGTCCTCCCCCTGCCCAGCACTGCCACCTAAGTCCTAGATCCAAACTTCATATCTGAACCCCTAGCCTGCAATGTGATGGCATGCCAGGATCAGGCCCTTGGGAGCTGATTGGCTCATGCAGGGGGGGCTCTGGTGAATGGGATTAGGGCCCTTATGAAAGATATCAAAGAGCTCCCTTTTACCATTCTTCCATGCAGAGGTCACAGGAAGGCACCATCTGTGCACCAGAGAGCCAGCCCTGTCAGAAACCAAGTCTGCTACAGTCTGATTTCACAACCTCCAGGACTGTGGGAAATACATTTCTTATGCTGAGTGTTAATCCTTCCTCATTTTTTTTTTTTTTTGGTACCAGTGATCGAACTCAGGACCTTGCCCCTGCAAGGCAGGTGGCAGAACCACTGAACTAAATCCCTGGTCCCCAGGAAATACATTTCTATTGTTTACAAACTGTGCAGTTTATGGCATTTTGTTATAGCTGCTCAAACTAAGCAAGACAGCCAGGCATGGGTGCCAGGCGCCATGTACAGATGGAGATCTTCACACCCCAGGATGGAACTTGAGGGAGAATCAGGCTTGAGGAGCAGGGTGAGTCCAGTTGACACAGTGTAGAGGAGGGGGAGCCATGGGCTGCTCAGGGGGAGATGTCCAGGAGGATGTGGAGACTGCAGGCTTAGAAGAGAAGTTTGGGCTGGACATGCACGTTGGGAGCCTCAGCAGACTGGCTAGGTTGTACCACCTGGCTTCCACTCATGTCACTTCGAAGACTCAACTGAGTATACTGGCTGTGCGGTGTTCGAGGCTGGGCCCTCAGAATGCCAACCTGCAACCAGCACTGCCCCTGTCTCGGTGGGGCTGGAAGCCTAGAGATCAGCCGGGGGACATGCTCTGAGAGATGCATCATGAGGCCACTTTGTCTCAGTGCAAAGGCCACCAAGTGCACTCATAACCCTGCATGGTAGCGCCTCAGTTCCACGGTATTTACCATTATATGTGTGGCCCACCATTGTCCAAAATGTTTTTGTGTAGTGCATGACTGTGCTTACCCAGATGAGATTTTTTAAATGTTAATGTGAATTTTGTTCAAGAGCAACATTTCTATGGGAAAGGGCACAAATCACAAGTGTTTCACTAAAATGTTTTTTAATAGAATGCACCTGAGCAGTCAGTACTCAGATTAAGAAAATCCATCCTTACAGAGAGCCCTAGAAAATCTCTACTGCTCCTCCAGCCACTGTCACCTCCCAACGGTTCCCGTAGCTGGACTTCTAACACCAAAGATTAGTTTTCCTGGGTTTTTTTGCTGTACTGGGGACTGAACTCAGGACCTTGTGCTTTCAAGGCAGGCACAGTGCCACTGAGCTAAATCCCTGGCAGTTTTCCTGTTTCTAGGGACAGCACAGCACACGTTGTCTTTGTATCTGGGTCCTTTCACCAAATATTATGTTTGCAAGACTCACGCATGATGTGTGGGGTTGTTCTTTCTTCTTTTGTTATGTGAATGCAGTGCGATTTATCTAGCTGTCTGTTGAAGGGACCCAGGCAGGTCTCCTTTTCAGCATTACAATCAGAGCTGCTATGAGCATTCCTGGTGGGACTGATGGACAGCTGCGTGCACCCCAGTTGGGTGGGCACCTAGGCAGGGAGCTGCTGGCTCATATGCTCAATGTTAGTAGAGTGACAAACAGTTTTTGTAGTGGCTGTACCAATACCCGCTCCTGCCAAGAGTGTATCAGAGCTCCTTTGGTCCATGTCTTTACCAACAACTGATATTCTTGAAATTATTTATTTTAGCCAATTTGGTGGTTGTGTGGAATTATGATTTTTATTTCAATTTCCTTGACAGCTAGTAAAGTTGAATGTCTTTCTATGTGTTTGTTGGCCATTTGGATATTCCAATTTTCTGGATGGCCTAATTTTTCTCATTGCTTTGTGGGAGAGACCTATATATTATTTATGTACTCTGGATATGAGTCCTTTGTTAGATTCACGTATTGGGACATGCCTTCTACACCAGCAGGCTACTCAAGAAAATAGATTTATTTTTAAAAACAATATATGTTCTTTAAAATGGTCAAGTAAACACCAGTATATCATAGAGTCAAAAGGTGACATCTCCCTTGTCCTTGCTGAGGTAAAGGTGGTTAAGAGTTGTACACATAGCAATATACTTAACAATACAAATTGTGCAATTTTTCACTTAATATACCTAATGATATTATCCGCATTTTACAGGGGAGGAAGTGGAGGCACAGGGAGGTAAAGTGATTTGCCCGAGGTAGCAGAGTCTGGCTCTGACCTTCCAAAGGACTGCAAGGTCATTACCAAGTGAGCTTCAGCCACTGCAAGGAGCTCCCCTCCTGACTTGCAGCCTCCGGTTCAGAGGGCTGCTGACTCACTTCAAGCACCTGCTCTGAGATGCTCCTTCCTCAGCAAGGCCTCTCCAGGGCTCCAGCCAGGGGCGGGGCTGGGACGAGGGCACTGTCACTTCTGGATCCTGATCTCGGCGTACTCTGTGGTACTGGAGTCCTGGTCCTGAGGCTCGAGGGGCCTCAGCCCTTGTAAGCTGAGGGAGGCATAATGGAGCTCCTGGTCCTGCCCTTCGGCAGAGGCGGGGTGGGCTGGGGCACCGCCTGCCTCGGCCATGTTCAGGGGCCCATGATGACCCTGACGTGGGGCAGACGGGAGTCAGTGCCGGGGTTCCCGGGGAGCCTGGGCTTGGTGAAGACTCACACGCATTCACCAGGTACCCATTCTTTCACTCACTCATTTATTTATCTGCATCCGTACCTTTAACAGTGGTTTGTCGTTGTTTTGTTTGTTGGTAGTATTGAGGATTGAACCACATGTCTTTGCACTGAGCTGTATCCTCAGACATTTTATTTTTATTTTGAGACAGGTTCTCACCAAGTTGCCCAGGGTGTTCAAATTTTTCATCCTCCTGCCTCAGCCTCCCAGAGTGCTGAGATTTTTAGGCATGTACCATTGCACTGAGCTACCTTTAACATTTTAAAAGTCTTTGTGTTTGCAGTACTAAAATTGAACCCAGGGCCTTGCACATGCGAAGCAAGCACTCTATCACTGACCTACACGCCGCCCTAACAAATTAGAATCCAAATGGTCCTTACCTGCTACTTATCTTACTGAATCCTTACAACTTTCCGGTGACTGCTATCTTACTTTCAGATATGAAAGCAGACTGAGCAAGGTGAAGTGACACTTCAGCACACAGGCCCCAACCTTTGGCTATCTGGGCAAAGAGAAGCATCAAACTATCCAAAAAAAAAATTTTTTTTTTGGTACCATCGATCGAACTCGGGTCCTTGAGCTAATGCAGCAGGCAGCAAAACCACTGAGCTAAATCCCCAGCCTGCCCAAACATTTTTTTAAAAAGGAAAAAAAGAAGGCAAGAAGAGCAAACGCCTCAAGCACCGAGCACTGTGGTTTGATGGGCAGAGGCAGGGTGCTGTGGGTGAGCATTGCAGAGGCCTGGTGAGACCTGGGCCTCACTGTGGGTGCGGGGCACAGGTCTGTGACTGTCCTAGGAGGCTTGGAGAGTCTTTGCTGGGCAGAGGGCAGAGTGTATTTCAACTGGAGTGTGAAAGAGGATCCGGAAGTCACAGCAGGGTGAAGCGTGTGGCAAGAGGAAATGGCACACAGAGGTACAGTCAGGCAGACAATAACCCTCAGGGCAGAGGCTCACTTCGCTGGGAGCAAAGCACTGGAAGGGGAGATGCAGGAAGCAGGCTGGTGAGCTGGGCAGGGGGCAGAGCTGTGGACACCAGACCCAGGAGTGTGGACTTCGGGCCCTCATCCTGTGCTGTCCAGTATGGCAGCCGTCAGGCCCATGTGATTCGTGAGAGCGTGGAGTGTGCTGGGTCAGAGTAGTGACGTGCTGCAAGTCCGAATAAACACTGGGTACGGAAGATTCAGTACCCCAAATTTTAAAAGGAATGTAAAGCAGCTTATTCCTAATTTATATATTCATTATTGATAATATTTAGCATCATAACACTTTGGATATATTGGATGGAATAAAGCATTCTATTGAAATTGATCTCACAGTGATCTTTCTTTTTAAAGGTGGCTGCTAGAAAATTTTATGTCCCATACATGGGACATAGCTACATGGCTGACATGTGTGGGTGTGTGTGGGTGTGTGTGTGTGTGTGTGTGTGGTGCAGAGGATTGAATCCAGGCCCTCGTGCATGCTGAGCAAGTGTTAAACCACCAAACTAGGTCTCCAGTCCCTGTTGTTCTATTTCTACTTCTTCTTCTTCTTCTTTTTTTTTTTTTTTTGGTACCAGGGATCAAACTCAGGACCTTGTGCTTGCAAGGCAGGCGGCAACACCACTGAGCTAAATCCCCAGCCCTCTATTTCTCCTTCTATTGGACGGTGCTGCTCAGGATAGTTCAAAGCAAACAGCGAGGTGCTCTGGGGACTCCTTTCTACGAGCTGATTCTGAGAGGGAGAGAGGGAGTCGTGGAGGGAAGACCCAGGCAAGAGACACCAGGGCTTGACAGGAAAGAAAGGCTTACACTGAGAAAAGCTTTGGTAGAAAAGAGAACGGGGCAGGCCTTGGGGAATCACTGGCTCTGGGAGATGCAGCAGGGATGCAAGCCCCCGGGTGCCCAGCCTGGCAGCAGCAGGAAATCTGGGGAGGAAGACTTTCTGGGGGAAACAGGAGCTCAGTGCGATACGCTGAGGGGGCTGCCCTGGGTCACCCCAGGGTCGGCACCCAGCTGGGACCCGGGGTGGACATGGCCACATCCCTCACCAGGGAGACGGCGCTCTTCACAGGACCGGTGCCATCCCCACTTGCTCCTTTTTCTGCCAGTTTCCTCCTGTAGATCTTCACCCTGGGGAAAGAGACCAGGGCCTTTCAGCCTGGCTGGCTCGCTGGCTGTCGGGAGCCCAGCACGACTGGGGCAGCAGCAGGTGAGGGCTCCGGTCTGGGATCAGAGACCATGGCAAGAGCAGACGCAGCCTTCTTCTGGGCAACAGGAAGTGGGTGTTGGGAACTGGCCCTGTATCCGCCCATGGCGGCAGGAGGCTAAACGCTCGCTGCAAATCGAACTGGCCGCACCCACCCCTGTCCGTTTCACCTCATCAGGGCACCTCAGCTCTGGGGTTGCGGTCTTGCAGAATATCTGAGCTGTGCACCACTGCACACCACCACCTCCTCAGGATGCCTTCATCCAAATCCGGGCCGCCGCTCACATGAAGAAGAGGAGCCAGAGACGGACAGCGAGCAGGACCATGACACCAGCTCCCCCAACAGCTCCCTGAACGGCTCCCATCTTGGCTCCAGGTTTCTCTGCAGACAAGAGACCTGGGAGGCCTCAGCCTCTCAAAGCAGACAACTGAGCACCCAGCCTCCTCCAGTCCACGACCCGCAGGGATGCCCAGTTCCTTCCAGGATGCAGTCCTTCCTCCCCATTGCTATGTGACTGCAGCCTCCTGTGCCCCCAGCCCCATTCCCAGTCAAAGGACAGAGGGCCCCAAACCACAGTTGCTTTGCTATGAGTCAGACTCATTTCTCTCACTCCCGGAGTCTTCCAGGATCCAGACTAGAGTCTCCCTCTTCCCCAGGCCTTGCCCTTCATAACTTCCTCACCTGGCAGCAGGAGAACAGTGATGCTCTGTGTCCCATGGGAATTCCAGGCCTCACAGCTGAGCCTGAGGCTGGAGCTCAGTCCCCGCAGGAGATGCAGGGAGCTGTTGGCCCAGGGCCCGGCCCAGCTGGAGGTGACCATGAGGGAGGCGTCGCTGCTGTTCCCCTCCAGCATCCCCTCCCTGAGCCGCCAGCGCAGGGACGGGACAGGCTGGGCACAGGAGGACCAGCTGCACCGCAGACCCTCGGCCTCCCAGGAGCACCAGGGGCCCAGCAGCTGTGGTGGGCCTGTGGGGAAGAAGAGAGGGATCGGAGGGGCTGTCCCCTGCCTGGGACCCAGGCGCCCCGGCCCAAGTGCCTTCCAACTCACTCTTCACAAAGAGGCTCACTGAGGCCATCTGAGAGCCCAGCCGGTGCTGAGCGCTGCACACGTATTTCCCATCATCCTCCAGTTCCACCTGAGGCAGCTGCAGAACCCCATGGCCTGATTGCTGTGAGGACTGCAAGGTCAGGCTGCCCCGGGTCCAGCTCAGCTCGGCAGCGGGGTTGCTGTCTGCAACACACACCAAGCGCAGGGCCTGGCCCTCTTGAGCACGGAATAATGAGCCCTCAGCCAGGGCTGTAGGTCCTGGAGAGACAGAGGGAAGGCTGAGCCCAGGCTCGCATGGGGCTCTCTGCCTTTCTGGTCCCTGTGTCACGTGGGTCTGTCTTTTCTCTTGCACTGCGTCCCACCCAGGCACTTACTGTGTGCATTCTGCCCCAGCGGACAGGGTGAGGAGCAGCTCAGTCTCTCCAAGGACCTGCGTGGCGTCACCCGAACTGCTTGGCCATCCGCACCAGCTCGGGTTCCAGGCTTGCCTTTAGCCTCTCAGCTACAGTTCACTGAGCCTGCCGAGCTCACGGTGTCATAAGCAGGACACCCAGCAGCAGCTGGAGGTTGCCTGGGAAGCCAGTGAGACAGTAGGGCAGAAGGGCTTCCTGGAGGACGAGGGCTTAAGGAGAGCAAGAAGAACAGGTAGGAGCTGCCGAGGGAAGATGCAGGTGTAGACTGGTGCCAAGCAGGGGGAGCCAGCGCCAGGGCACCCCTGAACACAACTGAGAAAAGATGACACGTGTTGTTGCCTAACTGAATCACCGCACGCTGAACCACACGTTATCAACAGGTTGGAAATAAATCCTTTCAAATAAAAAATGGCTGATTTCCTTAAAATGTCAAAACTCTTCAAATCATTTCAAATACGTTCACAAATACAAAAGGTTCTTAAACATGGTGAAAAATACCCAGCCTATTCACAAAATGATAACGCAAATTAAAATGACAGTGAATCCACTCATCCCATCAGAAGGAAGGAGGGCACTGTTCAGGGGAGTATAATAAGACAAACTCCAAGCAGGGCAACTTCAGTACGGCATCCATGCAAATCACAATATCCTTTCATCCTGAGTTCTCTCCTGTAGAAAATTATAGAGGACATTCGTGTAAGTTACTCATTTCAGTAGTGCTTGTTTTTTTAAAAAAGGCAAGAAACACCCATATTCTACCAGTGGACAATCAGTTCACACTTTATGGTATAACATATTTATGACTGGAAAACCATCAAGTCATTAATTTGTGTGAAGGTTTCCAATACAGAAATATGGAAAGATCTCCAGATATACTAAGTTTGAGAGAAAGGTGAGTTTAATTTATCAGCATGTACTACTGCCGCTTTCTCAACGGTAACAAACGTACCATGGAAAGGGAAGACTTTGACAATGAGGGAAGCTGAATGAGGGAGTTGTGGAAACTTTATGGGTCATCTTTGCAACTTTTTCATCAATCTAAAAGTACTGTGAAATGAAAAATTGATTTGAAATATTCAAAGGTCTGGAGATGTAGTCCAGTGGTAGAGGAGAATCTTAGTTTCATCACCAGCACCATAAAAGAAGTAAATAAATGAAAATAATGAAGATGTGAGGCAACGTGAATGTGAATGCTGTGTGACTGCATATACATAGGTTACCTGGAAGGAGAGAAAGGGAAAGCGTTAGGGCCTGAATACAATCTTATTCTTATTAACTTTTGCTAGAAACCAAAGTTCACTTCCCTTAAATTTGTATGTTAAATCCCAAGCTCCCTATGTGACAGTATTTGGAGACGGGGCCCTTGGGAAGTTCAGGGTGGACAAGGTCACGGGGCTGAAGCCTGCAGGATAGGATCAGTGGCTTCATAAGAAGAGTCACCAGAGAACTTGGCTGGTCTCTCTCTACCAGGTAGGGACATGAAGGGGACAAGAACGTCATCTACAAGCCAGGAAGCCAATAGGCCAGCACCTTGAGCTTGCACTTCCAGCCTAGAACTTGAGAAATAAACATTTGTTGCTGAAGTCACCAAACTATGGTTTTCTTTCTTTCTTTTTTTTTGGTACTGGGGATCGAACTCAGGACCTTGCACTTGCGAGGCAAGCAGCAACACCACTGAGGTAAATCCCAGGCGCAGACTATGGTATTTTGTTATGGCAGCTCAAGCAGACTAAGACTAATTTTATGTTATTTTTAAAGTTACTAAAACAATGAAAGGAACAGGCAGGGGTTAGGTCCCAAGGAAAACAAGGACCGGTGACAGCCGCATCTCTCACCCGAGGGAAGGAAAGGGCTAAGCGATACCTCAGTGCCTGAGGAGTGGGTGTGTAGGGTGACGAGTGGGTGCAGGGATCCCACCCTTACTGCCAGGCACCTGGCCTGCTCCCTCCTTCTGTCCAAGCTCTTCTCCTACACCCCCAGGAAGGACAGGCTGGGCCCTACCTGTGCCATTTCCCTGGAACACCTGGATGGTCAGGTTCCATGGGGCATCTGGACAGACAGACAAGATTATTCCCTTCTTGGTGGCAGGCAGGTGGGTGTGGGTGATTTTCCCACAGACACTTTAGGGTCAGGAGGACAGTGGAGCCAAGGGTCCTCTTTCCTTCCTCCCCAGTGGAAGTGCTTCCACACCAGAACTCAGGGTCCCAGGGCCTGACTCCTCTTGTCCCTCTCCTCCTAGGCCCTAGGCCTCCTGGCCAGCACTCACAGGCCACACTGAGCTGGACGGTGCTCTCCACTGCCACACTGGCTCCAGGGAAAGTCACTCGGCAGGTGAGGTTGGTGCCATGGTGATGAGGTCCCGGGCTGATGGTGAGCACCGAAGAGCGGGGAGTCTCGGGGCCCAGGGTAGAAGTGAGGTTCACCCCAATCCAGGAGAAAGTGGGGGGTGTCCCCTGCTCACAAGGCCACGGCACTGCACAGGTTATGTTCCCAGGGTGACCAGACTCCAGGGGCCCCGCGATGTGGATGTCAGGAGTCTCTGTTAGAGCCGGGGAGGAGCGAGGCACTGAAGCCCTGGAGGGGACCCCAAGTGTGGCCCTCAGAGCAACAGTCCCAGCTCCGTCATCTCCCTGGCCAGCCCTCTGCCCCGTTCTTTCTGCACCCCCTGAGGAGCAGGGGATCCCAGCCCCACCCTGCTCTGCCCCCAGCCCCCATCTGTGCAGCCCTCTTAGCCTCCCTCCTTACCCATCACAAACACACAGAGCTGGTTCTGTCTGTAATTGTACTGCATGCCACTGCCTCTCTCCACCCTAAAGAAGTAGACTCCTATGTCCTTGTTGCGCGCATCTCTGATGCGCAGGGAGCAGTTGTAGGTCCTGGGGTCTCCAAGGAGGTGGAATTGGCCCTGGGTCTCTTTCTGCACTTCACGAGATGGGTTATTTGTGACCACTGGAGGATCCCGGTCATAATTAGCCTCTTTCTTGAACCAGTAGCCCCAGGCTGGGGAAAAGTTGCTCCAGTATCTCCCGGGGTAGGAGACTCTGCAGGCTATGAAGGTGCTCTGTCCCTCCTGCACCACCACGGGCTCTGGCACTGTCAGCTGGTATCCTGGAATATTAGCCAGAGACCCTGCGGGAAAGGAGGGTCAGCTCTGTGCAGCCCCCACGGCCCCTCTCCCCGAGCCCACTCACCTGCCCACAGCAGGGGCAGCAGCAGAGGTGCCAGCATCTTGGAGACGGAGAGCTCCCGAGTGGAGCAGAGACAGAAGGGTGTGTGCAGGGGAAGCACATCTTTGGGGTGAGACTCTCGGAGCTGTGCTGTCACAGCACCGAGCGGAAGGCCCACCGGAAGCCCGCCTACTGGAAGCCCAGGAATGCCCAGTGACCACACAGAGGAACTTCCCACTCACACACTTCCGGGAGAGCAACTTCTTCTTTCTAATGCGGGGAAGGGGCCACACAACAATGGGGAGAGATCCACGGCTCCTTCCTCCTTGTTTTAGGCCTTTCCCTCCCCACCCCTGAGCACACCAGGCAGAAGGCAGTGCTCGGCCGCTCTCACCTTTGGATGCTCCGGAGGCTCAGCCCTGGGCCGGGATCAGAGGCCTAAGGCGTGGTGCAGGGTCCTCTGGAGGGCGCTGTGGGGGTGAACGAGCGCGTGCGCGCACAGCGCCCCCTAGGGCATCTGCTCCTTGATGAAGTGGAGCCCGTGGAGACAGGGCCGACTTTGTCCTTGGGAAGTTCCGCTTATGGCCAGTGTTCCTTTATCGGAACACCACGTAATTAAGATATCAAAAATAATAAAATGGTTTTTCTCTTCAAATTCTTGTTCCTTGACTTTTACTAGTTTCGTGTGAAAATGCAGAAAATGGCAACCTTGAACACAAACCGGCCAAGGACTGAGGAGGAGGAGAAGCCTGCTGGGAAGGGGGCGATGCAGGGGATGTGGGGCTCCAAGCGCTCTGCAGCGGGGAGGTGAGTTCTCGGAGCAAACGGGGCAGTGGACAGGACCGGACTCCGAGGGGCATGAAGACGGGGCCTAGGCGGTCCTGCGACTTCTCCTACTTAGAAACGTGGGTTTAATTTCGGTGCATTTGTACATGTGTGTAACAGGCTTTGGTCATTTCCTGTCACCCCCTTTGCCTTCCCACCCCCGTTTATTCCCTTCTTTTTCTCAAATGGTTACCCTTCTACTTTCATGTCACCTCAAACAAAATATTTTCTCGATTCTTCATATGAGAGAAAACATGCAATAATTGACTTTTACCACTGGTTTATACCACTTAACATGCTGCTCTTCAGTTCAATCCAATGTCCTGAAAATAACATGATTTTATTCTTCTTTATGGCTAATATCCCACTGTGTATATTACCCAACTTCCTTATCCATTCCCCTATGAATGGACACAAACACTGCTTACATAGCTAAGCTACCGTGAATTGTGCTGCAATAAACATGGGTGTCACTGTAGTGTGTTGACTTTAATTCTTTCGTGAATTCTATAATGAAGACTGGTACAGGTAGATCTAATGGTAGTTCTATTTTTTGTTTTTTGATCAGCCTCCATACTGATTTTCATACTGGCTGTACTAGTTTAGACTTCCTGAAAGTGTAGAAGAGGTCTTTCCCTCTACATCCTTGGGAACATTTATTATTTTTTGTATTGTTGATGATCGTCATTCTGACTGGGGTGAGATGGAGTTTTGCTGTAGTTTTTACTTTTTTTTTTTTTTTTTTTTTTGGTACCGGGGATTGAACTTGGGTCCTTGCGCTTGTACAGCAGGCGGTGAAACCACTGAGCTAAATCACCGGCCCAACTGTAGTTTTGATTTGCATTTCTGAGTGACCTTTTTTCTTCATATGCCTGTTGGTATTTGTACTAAATCTTTTGAGAAGTGTCTGTTCAATTCATTTGCCCAATTACTCATTGGGTTATTTTATTTGGTGATGAGTTCCTTGACTTATTTACTCTGTTACAGAGGACCTAATAAAGACTTTCTCCCATTCTGTAGGCTGTCTCTTCACTCTGATGGTTGTTCCCTTTGTTCTGCAGAAGGCTTTTAGTTGGATATGATTCCATTTGTTGACTCTTGCTATCATTTCCTGTGCCTTGGGGTTCAGCTCAGGAAGTCTTTGCTTGTACCTATGACTTCATCTGTTTTTCCTCATACTTTCTTTCAGCAGTTTCCAAGTTTCATGTCTTATACCAAGATCTTTGGTGCATTTGAATTGATTTTTGCTTGAGGTGAGAGATAGGAATCGTTTCCATCTTTGACATATGAATATCCAATTTTCACAGCCCCACTGTTAAAGATATGGTCTTTACTTCAATGTATGTTTTTGGTCCCTCTGTCAAGAATCAGATGGGACCATTGTTGTGGTGCATGCCTGTAATCCCAGCACTCTGGGAGGCTGAGGCATGAGGATTGCAAGTTTGAGCCTAGCCTGGGCAACTTAGTGACTTTGAGAAATCCTGTCTCTATATTTAAAAATGAAACAAAAAGGACTAAAGATATAGCTCGGTGTGAAGGCTATAACTGCATGGGTTTGTTTCTGTGCCTTTGATCTATGTGTCTATTTTGGTGCCAGTACCATACTGTTCTGTTATTATGGCTTTGTAGTATATTTTGAAGTTGGGCATTGTGATACCTCTACCCTGGCTCCTTTAGCTCAGTATTGTTTTGGCTCTTCTGGGTCTTTGTATTTCCATATGAATTTTAGAATTTTAAGATTATTTTCTTTATTTCTGTGAAAATTTTCATTGGTATTTTGATGGGGATTGTATCAAATCTGTGGATTTTGGTAACATGGCTATATTAGCAGTATTAATTGTGCTGATTCATGAGCATGGGAGGTCTTTCCACTTTTCTAGTGTCATCTTCAATCTTCAGTATTCTGTAATTTTCATGGAAGAGATCTATCCCTTTGTTGGTTAGACATATTACTTTTTTTAGGTGATTTTGAATGTAATTCTGATTTATCAGTTGGTTCAACATTGGTTTATAGAAAATTTACTGATTTTTTATGTTGATTTTGTACCCTGCCACTTTTTGTTTTCTTTTGTGAAATTGTATTTTTATTTATATATTTATTTTTTATTAGTGTATGTTTGCAGTACATGTAGTTTATAATCAATCATCCTGGGGAGTAGTTACCTATACATAATACAACTTGTTTCTTTTTTTAATCCCCTTCCCCAACCCTCCCTCCTTGTTCCCTCCTCTAATTCCCCTTTCCCCATTTTCATACTTGTTGATATTATTAATCTTAGTTCATAGTTATGTCATACAATGTTACACTCATTGAGGTTTTTACATTCCTATACATGGCATATCTTTATTTTAACTATTTCCCCTTCCCCTTCCCATTCACCCCTTCATCCTTAGTCTCTTGGACCCCTTCCCATTTGCAAAAGTTCCATCCCTTTGTCTCCTCCTATCCATCTTTTATTATTCTCTTTGCTTGTACTTTGCCTTACTCAAATGAGAGATACCATATGGTTTTTAAGCTTGTGTGTCTGGTTTATTTCACTCAACATTATATTTTCCAGGTGGATTCATTTTCCTATGGATGTTTCAAATTTGTCCTTCGTTTTTACCCAAACAGTATTATATTATATATAGATATCACAATTTCGTTATCCATTTATCTGTTGATGGATATACAGGCTATTTCCAGGATTTAGCTATTGTGAGTTGTGCTGCTATAAACATTGGTATGCATGTATTGCTGTAGCACAATGTCTTAAGCTCTTGGAGAAGATACCTAGAAGAGGGCTAGTTGGGTCATATGGAATTTCTAATTTTAGATTTTGAGACATCTCCATCCTGATTTCCATATTGGTTGTGTTAGTTTACACTCCCAGCAACAATGTAGGAGGGTTCCTTTTTCACCACAGCCTCACCAGCATTTGTTATTTATTTATTTCTTGATGATTGCCATTCTTTCTGGAGTAAGATGGAATCCTAGCATTGTTTTAATTTGCATTTCTCTAATGGGCAGAGATCTTGAAGCTTTTTTTTTTATGTTTGTTGGCCACTTGTACTTTTTCCTCTGTGAAGTGTCTGTTCATTTCACGTTCATTCTACTTTTCTGAATTTGTCTATCAGATTTTAAAATCTTCTGATTTATTTTTTGTGTGTGTGGTAGTGTGAATTAAACTCAGTGGTGCTCTACTAATGAGCTACATCCTTGCCCCTTTAAAAACTTATAAATTTTTAAAACACGGTCTCACTAATCTCCCCAGGCTAACCATAAATTTGTGGTCCTCCTGCTTAAACCTATTTTTTTAGAATCTTCTAAAGAAAGAATCATATTGTTTGTAAATATAAATAATTTTATTTCTTCCTTTTGTATTTCACTCCTTTTATTTCTTTCTTTTGCCTAATTGCTCTGGCTAAAATTTCAAGCACTGTTTTCAACAGAAGTTGATTCTCTTGTGTTGTTCCTACTTTTAGAGGAAATGCTTTCAATTTTTCCCTATTCAGTATGATGTTGATTTATGTACATTGAACCATCCCTGCATGCATGGGATGAAATTAACTTGATCATGATGTGTGACCTTTTAAGTGTGTTGTTGCATTCTGTTTGTTAAAATCTTATTGGAGATGTTGGCATCTGTGTTTATCCAGGATGTTGGACTGTAATTTGCTTTTTGGTAAGTCTTTTTCTGGTTTTGATATCTGGGTGATACTAGCTTTATAGAATGAAATCAAATGTGTTTCTTTCCATTGTATTTCAAGGAATGGTTTGAAGATCATTGGCATTAGTTTTTTTTTAAAAGTCTGGTAAATTCAGCAGGAAACCTCTCTGCTCCTGGGCTTTTTTTTGTTGGGAGATTTTTTTTTTATTACTACCTCAAATTCATTGCTTGTTATTGATTTGTTTAGGGTTTTTTTTAAATATCCTTTTGGTTCCTATGTGTCTAGAAATGTATCTATTTCTTCTAGATTTTCTAATTTATTGGAATATAAGTTTCAAAAACAGTTCCTATTAATCCGCTGGGTTTTGGTGGTATCTGCTGTAATGTTACCTTTTTCATCTCTAATTGTGTTGAACTGAGTCTTCCTTTTCTTTTGGTTAGTTTGGCTAAGGGTGTATCAGTCTTCATTATCTTCTCAGAGAACCAACTCTTTGCTTCATTGGTCATTTATATGATCTTTACATCTTCATTTCATTAATTTTAGTTCTGCAGTTCATTATTTCTAGTGATTTGGAGTCCAGTTCATTCTTTCTTTTTTTTTTTTTTTTGGTACTGGGGATTGAATTCAGGACCTTGCACTTGCAAGCCAGGCATGGTGGCACTGAGCTAAATCGCCAGCCCAGTTTTTTGTTGTTTTTTTAAAAATATAAGCATTTGTAGCTATAAACTTTCATCTTAGAGCTTCCTTTTCTATATTCCACAGATTCTGGTATGTTGTATTTCTATATCGTTTAGTTCTAGGAATTCTAGTATCAT